ATGTTAGTGACGTCTATTCTTGATTATCTGATATTAAAGCTTCAAGATCTCGGTGAGCTTTGTGAAAATTGCTCGTGCGTTAAGTTTTCGAAGGTTGGAGTTTTCTGAATTTTGAGGGTTGTTTAGAATTTCAACTGTTACATATAGGACCCTTCGTGCTCATAAATTTTTGATATTGAAATTCGGACTTTTAATGTTTCGAATTCTGGGCCTAAAAATGGGATCTTCGGGCAAAAACATGTCGGTTGTCAAAACCACCGTGTCCCTTTTCGAGCTCCTTCCACTTGTACCATCAATTACCAAATACCCTATATACATCGAGCCGACGATGGACGATCGCCGCTTTCACATCCATCCGAATAAAAACTTCTCTTCAAGTCTCGTTCCTCGTTGTCTCATCTCTCTTCTGCTACTCATTCTCTCTATCTCCCACGTTTTCCTCCCCTTGGACGAGGAGACTTCCTCAAGGAACAGGCGCGTCCAACGTTTGACAGAACAAAAGATTATCGACCGAACTCGCCCATAGCCTTTCTCTTCCCTCAAAGGTAGACTCCTGTAGGTCCTCCCTTTCGTTCTTTCCTTGGAATAATCCTTTCTGTTTACGCTTCCTGCAAATACTCGCGTATATATTCCCCCATTTTTTCTAGGTGGGCAGGAGGGTTGAGAGGAACCGGAAGGAAGCCCTTCTCTTGATTGCCTCCCTTCCTCTCTCTCTCTCTCTCTCTCTTCTGCGAGTGTGTGCGCATCTAAGGAGTCATCGTGTACAAATTACCGAAAATTGGTCCACTTTTTAAGCCGCTCGGACATCTTTCGACGTCGGTAACGCCTGTAGTTCCTCCCCATTGTCCTTCATTCTCGAGACGCGTTTTTTACCGAAGGGGTGGCGCGCCGCAACACGAGGACTGCCGCGGCTCTTGCCCGGGTGCGAGATTGTTTTTGCCACCTTGGTGATTTTCGGAATTTAACACTAGTTTCCGACTCCTAGAAAATTGGCACGATTTGCGCGTTTAAATTGCTTGAAAATCGGCGAGCAATTTCGGATATAGGGTTCGACCGGATACCGACGATCATTTAACAAGAATCTTGAAACTCCTTCTTGCCTGACATCGAGTCTCCATTCTATTTCGCGAAATTTTAATCCCCTCTTACCCTCATTATTAAATTTCGCGAAAAAGTTTTAAATTGATGCCAAGATTAAAAGAAATGCGTGTCTTATACGGGATAAATCCCATATAACGATATTATAATATTTGTTATTAAATATAATATGTTAATTATATATAATACGCGCGTAATAATATGACTCCAAAATCCAATGATCTCCAATATGTTCGAATAAATTCACATACGCGATGAATCAACTGATACACGGAATTTTTATATTAAGATGTTATTATATTATATTAAGACCGTTTCTTTGTGGAAATGCCAATTTGCTCGGACGTGTTTCTCGTTATAGCGGGCCCTTCATTATTCGTGACACCTGGCCTCGCGTGTGACTTAACGATGCTTAGCTAATTAACGTGAAATTCGATCGGTCATAGAAGGCAGTCTTCCTTCCTCCGTTTGTAGACCTCTCGCCGATAGATCAGAGTGCATGCGATTGCGAATTCCGTGGTAACGTGTTACCCCCAATCGTTATGCCGCTATCTGTTCGTAGTGTCAAAGGTCGAACACTCTTCGTGTGAGACTGACAACTCGAATAAACGCTTGTAAGTGATCAATCAATAATAGACACGGCTCAAAGTACACGTTCTCTCCGAGACGTCGAGTCTTGGGAAGTTCAGAACTCGTAATTGATGCTAGGAACGTGCAATTAGAAATTCTGCTAATTTGAGAAACGCTAAGCGAGCTTCGAAACGCGATAATTGCACATTGTATTCATCGAATCTTCATGATATCGTAACCAAATTTTTCAAACGTGTCTCCGTTCGGCTCGGCGGAAGTCTCAATCGGGCGTACTGTCTTCCCAACTTTCGCAGACGCGTCGGGCGCATCGTTAAGATAAAATCGTCCCTATATATATATATCGAGCGTGCAAATATTTCTCCCGTGAACGAGAAACAACGGGTTATTCATTTCACGCAAAAGCCGAGGAAGGTAGAAGAATCGGAAGACCACACGAGCAAACGAACGCCAATTGCTTATATTTCACGATGACCAAGTCCAAAAGGAGGAACGAGCCGCCGTCGGCGCGCGCGCGCACCTGCCGGCTCTGTAAAAGGCTTCCTCACGGAGAAAATACACCGGGAACCCACGGATACGGCCGAAACTTCTTACTCGCTCTCGACTCCCGGGAACCGAATCGTGTGCATGTAAATGCGCGACGCGACTCGGGGAGGTGATATTTCGAGGCCCGCCGGCGTCGGGCCGGAGGACCGAACGGCCATTGTATCCGCGCTCGTACTCGCGCGCGCGCGCCTGCTCATTAAATATTAACGAGAGTCTCAATTTCTTCATTTCGTTGATGAGTCGCCGCGCACCATCCGAGAGAACCCGCATATAGATTGAAAATTAACTTATATGAGCGCCAACAAAATATATACGGCATGCGGTGCACTTATACGACTCAAGAGGCTTACAATTTACACGAGAGCTCGCTATGTTGGTATAACCCCTAAGTAGAACCCTCGCCCTCTTCTCTCTTCTGCTCTTTCTCTTCTGCCTTTTCTTCTTCTTTATCTTCTTCTTCTTTTCCTTCTTCTTCTTCGTCGTCGTCGTCGTTGTATCTTCCTTTCAGCTTATCCGCTTCTGGTGGAAGGCACAAACGTTATATCCTTAAATACCTAATTTGATGCTAATTAGAACTTGCAGTTGCGCCTCGCGAGAGAACGGCAAAATCGTGCTCGCGTGTGGTGGCGAGGTTTAGCAGTGTCTTCGTGAAGTGGCGTGGTGGAGAATGTCGATGGAAAAATAGGTTGTCTTTTACACTTCGAGCCCAAATGAAGGGATTTCTATACTTGGAACGTCGAATTTGTAATGTCAAAATTTGTGGATTCCAACACATTATTGAATATTCGAGTCTTCGGAAGTGTGAACCTGCGACATGTGAATTCTGAAAATTTTCATCTGTGAGCGCTTGCGACTCTCTTGAATTGGAAACGGTTGACTTTATATGGGAGAAAACGAAGGAAATGAATCTCAAATCAACTTTATATGTATCTTAACAGTTTAATGTTTTAAGATAATCATCGCGATTTACTCGTTCATTGAAAATAAACGCGTGTCTTAGTTGTATTTTCTCCGCTATACTAATTAGAAAATGAATTTATCTTCTTATAGTTATATGTTGGACGGAAAAGGTGCAGCAAAGTTAGAGAGGAGAGCAAGTTACGTCTATGAGTCGAGACGTACGTAACTGTTTATTATGCGTTACTAGTTGCACTCGAATATAGCACATTAATTTATCTATACAGTTGGAAATAATTGATTCGCTCTTTAACATGTACACTTAATCATCGCTATACTACAGATATCTAACGTGCGATCTATTGATTTTCTCTGTCGAGCGTTATGTAAACTTTCGTACGCAAAATACGCCGTAAAGGATGCACGTAAAATATTCACAATTTAGATTTATTTTCAAGTAAACAGGGAAAAAATTTAAATATTGTAATTGCGTAGAAAATATAGACATATTTAGGAAAATACTCAATATATGGTTATTCCGGAGTGTTATGAAAATTTCCGAAATACGTAAGTAAATAACAATTTTCACAATTTCACATAATTCTTTTTTATTTAAATTAATTTGTAAAATTAGGTTTATTTAAATTATTTTAATTGAGTTGCTAATTTTCATAACACACTCCGAATCTCCGTAAAGTCTTGAATATTATTTACAGCCCCTCAAATATAACTTAAAATTAAGTGTCAAGAAGATTGATAGTTTAGAAATGAAGGCTTGTCAACAATGATCAGACTTTGTGAAAATAGTTTGTTCAGTGGTTAACTTCAATAATTCCCCGATATTCCACGTTTCTAACACACACTTCAATATTGGAAAAATATTAAATCTACGATATTCTATGATGTTATCTATGCTTGAGGGGTCGAACCTGATAAAAATTCCGCAAACTTGCGGCATCCTAGTCTTTATTCGTAACTTTGTGCACATATTTGCGTTAAACACGTGCGTATGTGTATGTGTGTGTGTGTGTGTGTGTGTTCTTTGCATTGCTCGAATTCAAAGATGACGATTTGGAGGAAAATAGTAAATATAAGAACATATAATGTGAGAATTTCGCGAGGCGAGATCTTTTGCCTTTCGAATGGCTCGCGAGTACCCGTGCTGCGATTTGCAAAAATATATAACGTCCTTTGAATTCAAGCAGCTCGTTAAAAAATTTGTTTCTTAGCTACGTTTTGGCACGAGCAGAGGAACGCCGTTTTTAAGAACTCTTTCGTACATTTACACCTCTAAATATAAAAATCGCAGACGCTTATTTGGATTTTCATCGGGCTTTGCGTAAAATGTTATCTCGATCATCGGACCTCATCAATATTTGTTTTTGATGTTCTCCTTATATAATAGTGAAAAATTCAATGCTATATTTTCTTACTATCCTGTGTCTAATATAGAAATCATCATTAACATTCTCTGTAAATACAGTCATAATGACTTATTAATTGTTTAATACTGTTTAATACTGCATGCATTCGTGTCATCGGAAAGACATTATAAATCACTTCTCAGTATTCAGTAATCGGTATTCGTACACGATAGATTTTATCAATGAATATTTAATCGATTGAGTTTGAATGAATTGAGATAGCGGAGCGAAGCCGATGAAAATTAGCCGCGCGCGTATTCCGTGTGAAATTAACAAGGACAAATGAAAGGATTTCATGCAATGTACGTATCCGTTCGCTTAGACGAGTCTTCGTTTAGTTCGGCCGTACGACTTCCGTGGCATTGTACAGGGTGTTTTAAACAGGTGCGTACGATTCACACTATATATTAGGCAACGTTGGTGTATTTCTAGCACCGTGCTATTTCAGTGAAATATTCGACGAAATTAAAATAATTTATCAAATCTTTATAAACCTTTTTACAGCGAATGAAATCTATACTAAAACTTTTTTCTCGAGTTCCTTGAGGAGCACACGTATTTGTTGCTGACATCTTCATTGGAACACCCCGTACATTGATCGGTATTCGAGGCCCCGAGTTGATCGATAATTACCGATAATTATCGACATAATCACTAATCGTACACCCTCTTTGTATATATATCTAGATTACATTCTTACTATCCTCGTCTGGTAATCTTTGGTAATTCGGATGTGCATGGAACTATGATTATTATCACTGATTACTTATTAACATAATCGTCCTTCGAAATCGTTACCCGCTAAACTCTATCTGACTAGACCACCTCTCCGTGAGGATCCCTCAATGAGTCACTTCCTTTGTAAAATTCAACGTCATTTTTTTAACGTCCTCGAGTTATTTATTCCGTCTACAAAATGACGCCGAATTTCGAATTCTGAAGGAACCAATCGTACAATGTTACTTTGCGTGGAATTCAACAATGTAGGCTGCTGTGGAATTGAAGCAACTATCTTGAAACCCACCACGATAAGAATCACTCTGGACGTTTCGGCACACAGCCCAGACTCAAACGTGGCGACCGTTGCCATGATAAGTCACCAATAGCTAACGCGAATGTTTATCAGTGATTCTTCTTAGAAACGACGATGATGGTTTTGTCATCGGCTTGCCGAGTTCCTCGGAATTGATTCTCGAGAAAGCGTAATAATCCCTCATCCAAGATGGCTAGAGAGGCTGCTGTAAGCATCCTCCTCCATCTCCAGCCGTCGTCTATAGAGGTCCGAGAAGGAGACCTGAGAAGAGACACCAGAGTGCAGATGATGAAGAGCGTGTAGCTCCTCCATGGAGGTCGAGGGCATGCTGTTGCTGTCGCCGAGGATGCTGGCGGCCGGGCCGACGTTCGGGGAATTGCCGGTGCTGGAGGAGACCGGCGTTCCTGAACAGCCGACGTTGCTGCCAGCGTTGCTGCTCTCTTGTCGCATGTGATTTCGTCGCCATTTCGCGCGCGCGTTTTGAAACCATACCTAAACAGGCGTGTGTAAAATCGAAAGACCGTGTTATTTGAGTTGCTTGTAATCGAATTGCCAACAACGATTGATTTCGATTGCAGTTTAATCGATCCTTCTTCTCGAGAATCAGGAAAACAGGAGGCGACTGTTAAAATTGGTTCTGTTGAAAATTTACTGTGTCAAAGTCTTTTGATTTGATTGGGAAATTTCAATCCTGTCTGCTTCGTTAAATTATTACTTTATTTTCTACGTGGTAGAACTCGAGTAAAACGTAAGTAAGGGCTTCTCACCTGCAGCACCCTTTTCGATAGGCCGGTCTTCTGCGCGAGTTGCTTGAGGTCCTTGGCATCCGGGTTTTGATTTAACGCAAAGTAAGTTTTCATGGTTCGCAACTGATGATGCTTGAAGCTGGTACGCATGCGTTTCGTCCGCTGACTCTGATGCACCGGACCCGGCGAGCCTACGGACGCGTCGTATGCAGCCAGCGACTCCATCGACGAGGACAATTCCGTGGGGTGCAGCAATTCTGCAATGGCGACGTCGGCTAGAAAGAGTCTTTTTACGCGAACCCGTCAAACCATTGATATCACATATCTTGAAACTCAAGCCTCGAAGTTCACCCTTGAAGCGTAAGCAACATGCGATGGGGAGGAAGAAAGAACAATGTTACATTAGATACATCTTTTAGTGAATACTTTGGGGTCATCGAGGTCCTTTATGTTTGCACGTGTGAAAGATAATAAACTCCGGGATCGAAAGTTTCAAAACTCCGTTCAAGGCTTTAAAGTTCATAATCTGAGACCGAATTAATAAAAAAAAATTCAGACAAGATTAATCGAAAAGAATTTTTAAATTTGTGAAATTATCCGAGTTTCAAGAACTTGGAAACTGTAAGTTTCTCAAATGTCGAATGCATATGTCATCGAATATTTGAACTTAACTCATTCGAGCGCTCACATTAGGAATATTTCCATACAAAAATCCACGAATCGTCCGTGGCTAGCTAATATTTCCTTGTCACCCCTACCCATCTTTCACTCCGCAGTCTTCTTTAATTCATGCGCTGCCCGCGTCGGCGTATCCTTAGAAGGATTTTAACTCCTCCGATGTGTTCCGACAGGTTCGAGGAATCGACTCTTTCTCGCAACGCGCTTTCCTTTCCAATTTTTCGAACGTAACTGTGTTTTACCAATCGGCCCCCGGGAAAAGACGAAATGTCGTTCACCTCGATCAGAAAAAAAGAGAAAAAGAAATTCCGAAGACGGTGTGGCTGTTCGCGAAAGCGCTTTTTCTCTCTTCATCCTCTCCTTCCCGCGATACCTCTTTCTCTCTTTCACTCTTTGACGAACCGGCGGATCGTCAGCGGATTCCGTTGGGAATGGAAGTTCGGAACAATAAACAGTAATGGCGCATACGTGCTCGGGGATTTACTTCTGGGATCCCTTCTCGCCCCTCCCCCTCATCCCTCCTTCGCCGGCTGGAACCCGTTCTTCTCCCGATTGAATTTAATGGTTACCCTCGTCGTCTTATTTATTGGATGCGTTCCTTCGCTCCGCCGGCGCGCAACAACTGCAACTGCACACTCGTCCTCTTCCCTGCGACTCTCTTTCCACGCTTCTTTATCCTCGTTCACCATAACTCAGATAAATTCGTACACGATGACACAACCGTTGATCGATCAGTTAAGACGCACCTTCTATATATTCGGAAGCGACGGTGCGGTAAGACGCTGTGTTTCCGGAAAATCATTTCTGCCCTTGAAAGAAACCACGTCTGAAGAGATCAATATTATGGGGGGAAAAAAAAGAAAGGGGAAAAAAAACTGCAAATGCCATCTTTGCCAAAAGGCAGGGCGCGCGTTTAGTTCATTTTGCATGCGGATGGTGTAAGAGAGAAAGAGCGGCTAAAAAAGAACAAGCTTCCAGTTGCGGCGTCGTGCTACACACGAATCGAAATAGGATTTTCCCGGTGCGGCTTTCGACTCTCGGCGAGGCCTTTCTGTCTCTCCAGAAAGAGGAACGGCTTCGGGTCCCGGCGGACAGTGACAGATAGGTATCGGCGTCGAGAGATGCATCGATTGGCCGATCTGCCCGGAAAAGAATGCTGCCGTGGCCAATGTGTGGCCACTTCCAGCAGAATGGCCGGTCGGAGCACTATAATGCCGCCTGCGCGAGTTTCTTGCCGGTGCCGCCAGCGGGAATACCTCTCTCGTTTCTTCGTTGATCCTCGCTCCGCGGTCTCGGCGATTTTGGCTTCTAGCTCGCCCTGACAAATTGTAATCTCATTCTTAAACCGCCAAATCTTCGCACGCTCGCGCGCGCCCTCTTCCCGCCGAATTTGCCCCTCGGACTTCCCCGAAGGATCCGAGTGTGTCCTTCCTCTACGGCAAGGTCAGTAGTTTTTCGGTTTTCAAGTCGAGCAGCGTAATACAAATCTTGACCACACGGAATAACGTGCGGACGTTTCGTACGAAGATCAAATTCCTTATGAATCGATGCTTTTCTTTAAGATTCACTTTTATGCACGGAACAATTATACTTAGGAACGTGGACCAATTTTGGGTACTATCGAGTCTTCGGTCTAGAGTGATTCTGTAAAATTGCATTTTTTTCTATTTGATCTATTTGTATATCTAGTCGTGTCGAATGATATGATATTAAAGATTGATCGAAAATGGTCGAGTTAAAATATCCTCCTGACTCGAGGCTGAGGGCCGATTGCTATGAGATGGGGGTCTCCGCGACCCACCGTCGGTCGGCGCGCGTCTAGCTGTGGGATAGCTTGAGACCTCGTCGCCGGCGTGTCTCCTTCGCAAAAACTGTCCCAATTATATATAAAGACAATAAAACGGCCAAGCTCTTTCTCTCCGGCCGGTTGTTCCCACCTGAAGTTGAACGCACAGGACTTCGTGGATTATTTTATGGCTGTTGGTCGTAAATTCCTATCGGTAGTCCGGGAAGAGTGATCCTCGCTCTTGTCGATTATAAAATAGCTGGGAATCGCGCGCGTACTGGTCGAGTCGCCATCTTGGCCCTACACCCAAACCGAAGCGATCGTAAAACAAGCGGGAATCGTATTTAAATGTGCGATACCAGCGTGCCGGTCGACAAATGACGTAAATCGGGTGGACGCGAAGAAAGGAATTAATGCAACTTCGATTCGACGGAATCTCCATTCCGCTAAATTCCCTCGTGACCGCCCTGAATCCGTTGTCCGTGAGTCTCCTTCGTTGAATCGCTCGTCACGATGATAGACCTGTCGTAATGATTAACTTCGTGATTCATGCGATCGTCTCAGGTCTAGAGTATCAATGAGATTCGTCGGACATCCAGTATGATACTCGCGTTGTAAGTGATAAATTATCCATTATTTTTCTCGTGCAGCACCATCTTATATTACGATTTACTATTTAGACGAAGGCTATATACAGCGAGTAAGAGTGAAAATTAGAACAGGACGAAGCGAACACTTCGGGACCGAGGTGAGTCTTTATCATGGAAGGTTCGCTCATATATTGAATCGTCGAGCGAGACATCTGCATAGCGCGCGGAAATTCACCGAAGAATTCCGCCCGCCGATATTGAACGATCCTATTAACAAGCCGAATAATCGCGGACGATATGAAGTAACATCTGACGGGCTGAAGGACCGAGCAAATGTTTGCACGAAGGAACACCCCGTTGTGATACCCCTCGGCAAATAATGCAATTGCGCCGATTAACTTGTTTGCTCTAGTACGGACTAAAGAGAAAGCTTGAGAGAGAAGTAGTGAACCAGGGTCTTTGGATCTTTGAGTTGTCGGGTCTCGAGGTGATTTCTTTCCGGTCAGGCTTCCGAATTCTCGATAGCGCAAAGTTGTCAAAACTTTGTACGGACGCTGAAGTTCCCAAGGGGGGAATCGTTAATTTTGACAATTCGGTCCTCTCATTGCCGATTTTAGTTTGTACTGACGCATTAGAAAAATACAATAAAATTAATAAAATCATTGGAATAAAATAAACCGTGTCACCGTCTTAGCAAGCGCCAAATATATGCGTAATCAAATGAGGAGGTGGTGCAATTGAAGAGGGGTTGAAGAGGGGTTTGGCACGTTATTGTGAACATTAGTTCAACACAATCGCGTTATCGAGTGATTACAATCTTAGATGAAAATCGTTCACGATCGTACAAGATCGCGGAACATACATTGGCTTGACTCACCGAGCGCTCCAGCGGCCAGCCTCATCGTGACAGGAAGCTCGGAGCCGGTGACTTCCGACAGCTTCCGCTTCCTAGGCCGACCCTTTTGCACCGTGCCGGAAGAGGCTATCGGGTTCTGCTCGTAGTAGGCCGGCAGCGGCGACACTCCCGGTGAACCGAGGTCCTCGATGCTACCAGCAGCACCTCCGTAATCCCCGGCACAGCACAGCAACTCGTAGTGAGGTCTTGGGAGCGACGTGCTCGTCAGTCGTCAACCTCTCTGTCAAGTAGTCGATAGACGACCTGACCTCCGCGTTACATGTCGAGTTCGATGAACGAGTTCGATTTCGTGAACGTGGTCGTTGGATTTTATGAAGTGGGACGTAGAAATTAATAGGGTTATCGAGATAATTAACTAGTTACTTAGCTTGGTTGTCCGAGGTGCTAAAAAATCCGGACACGTTTTCTCCGTTCTCCGAATCTCGTCCTTAAAAATTTACTAATCAATAATATGTTGAGTCTTCGATTTTACGGAGCCTGCATTTAGAGTAAAACTTTTCCGATTTTTATTCATTCTTCACTCTTGCATTTCATGAATATTACTTTGTGACGTTTCAGCCCACACGGACCCTTGAGTCGTGTCGATTTTCTGAAATCCTTGGCATTGACAAAATGTCCTTTACACATCAGTGCACAGTTTACGTTGTTGCGATCGTTTTCTCGGAACCCGAGACTGGATCCATTCGTTCCAATTACCATCATTAGCGCGCAATAACTGTCATTAGCGCGAGGGAGGGATGGATGGGTGGGTGGATGGGAGGGAGGAAATGACTTGGTGCGACAAAGCGCTTCAAGCTGCTGTCAATCTCGTCATCGAACTCGTTGATAACAAGGAGAAACGGCCTTTGAAGGATAGTAATGATCAGATGCTCGCGTTTCTCACCTACAATATACCAGTCCATCCCGCTGCCCGAAATGGTCGCCTTTGTTCAGCGGGGTGCCGCAGGAGGCGCAAGTGAAACACGCCACATGATATACCAGCTCGCGAGCGCGCATCACCAATTCCGAAGCGGAGATACCGGCGCGACACCGTGAGCATCGGGACACCGCGAATAACCTACGTTGGGAAAATTCAACAATTGAAAGATCAATTCCTCCACCACGTAAATCTTCGAGTAATTCTTATTCGAGAACGTAGTCACATTTCTTAACTTCGTTTAAAGAGAGTAAGCTGCTTTCAGGCCGTACATTAAAACTTTGTAACTGGAAAGTCTTCAATTTTGAAAGTGTAAGTTTCAGTTCCAACTTTTCTCGTAATAACATCGGGTTAATATGGCGTCGATACCGATCGAATGGCCGTTTAATTGTTATTAAGTTGAATTTTTTTTCATCTGTTAGTTCTTTGTATTTTCTCGAATATTTGCTATATCACTTTTTCCTAACTTTGCCGGCGTTCTGGATTTGTATTAGAGAAATTTGAGAGAGTTGGGACTCTAATGGTACATTATTTGCTTTGCGAATGTTGCGTATTACGAATTCCGCCTGAAGTGAATTTCGCAAGCGATCGAAAGCGGACTATTCACATTCGCATAGACGGAAACAAAGGGTTCGCGTTGTTGCATATTGCATGGACGAGGACTGTTGAATTCCTCCCTTGTTCGCTCTAACGAACCCGCTTTTCAGTCTTTCATTCTACTCTCATCCTGAAATACCGAACACCAAACGCATTTTATTCCGTACGAGGTATTTATTTATTTATTTACGTTCACGTGTGCTCTCGAATTGTCCTTGGCGTACGACAATTCTCGAACCTTTAGATCTTTGGAACTCTGAATTATCTGACGCACCAAATTGTACGAGCTTCAAATATTTCGTATTTTCAGTTTCCGAAATGTTAAGCCCGCAGAAACATGAAACACGGACACTCTCGGGACATCGTGAATCTCAAGAACAATTTGTCAGAAACTCATGAAACAATTGTTAACCGCGGCTACTACCTTATCAGTCTCTCATATCGGTAAATTCCCAAGTGTCGCTCGAGATAATATCTGTCGGGCGTTAATCTCGCGACGAATCGCGCGAAAGACAGGGAGAATAACGAAGGATGAGCGGTCGCAGCATCCGAAAGAGGGGTGCAGAGCCATGAATGGCGCAGCGTGCGGGGAAGAAATTGACACATCTTACAATTCTCTCAATTATTCCACGAATCCAGCGAATCTCTGTCCAAATTGCACCGCGGAATCGAGCCTGCCAGCCTCCTGGCTACCTCCCGTGAGCGACATCGCCGAGCGAGATCTCCTCACCGTTCTACCTTCTGCTGCTGCACTAACCTACAGTAATCCTCCTTGCAGTAGATGTTGCCGTCTCTGGCGAAGCAGGTGAGCTCGGCGGCCAGGGGGACCCGGCAGCGGCAGCAGCGCAGGCAGCCGCAATGCCATACGCGATCGGCCGCCTTCAGATACCAGCGCTCGGCGATTTCCCTTCCGCAGCCGCCGCAGCCGAGGGCACCCTCGGCGACGCTGACACCACCTCCGCCGGCGTTGCCGCCGTTCCCGCCCTCGTTCGCGCCGACCTGCCGATTGTTCGCCCCGCCGCCGTCCCCAGGCGGGGGTGTAGCGCTCCCGCAGCCAACTTCCTTCAGCATTTCCCTGGCCGCGCGCTGCTACGACGCATGCCGCCGCATTCTACAAGTGGTTATCGCAAACTTCCATGACACACGGCTACATACTTGAGAACTGAGTGTGACGCAGCGAAACCTTCGACCCAGCTGGCGAAACTTAACGATCTCGCGGCCGTGTAAGGCGAAATGTTCGCGTAGCCGCAAGGGGGACTATCTCCATATTTCTCCTTATTTCACGGAGAACTATGAGTTAATGGAACGTAGAATGCGCACACGGTGGAAATGTTGCGGTAAAAATTACCAGAAAATCGTACAACGTTGAACCACACTGAAGTTATGATTGAAATTACGACGCGTGTTGTAATTAATAATGTACTTCATTGCATATGTTACTAAAGATTGCAACACGCATAATAATTTCGGTTATAATTCCGGTATTTCCTCCGTGTACAATGTGCACAATCAGCTCTTCTGAATAATATTGATTTACTTTAGGCTACGATCCGAAACGTTCCGCCCGAGGAAAATTTTACTCAGTGGCTTCGGGGAGTGATGGAAGAGGGGCCAATTGGAAACGCTCATCGAGTTTTCGAACAGCCGGTAAAATTTCCCTCGAGAAGAACGTTTCGGAACGTAGCCTCGAAAGAGAATTAAGGCTCTTGTGTACTCACCGCAGCCATCTTGTTTTATGATGTCAGAAGCGAGAGAATCCATGCGCGGAATTCCTGCGATATTTGCTCGGGTGAAAAGATGTATCTACGAAATGATATCTGTGATCGATCCAATACACTTTTGAAATGCTTCGGGTATTCTTCTTTCGTTTGAACGATCAATAAATCAATGAATAGCTGTAAAGTGAATGTGACAAAAGCATGATAAAAGATAGGTTAAAAGTAATGGTCGCGTGTTGTGTTAATTTTATATTTTTATTTATTGATCGTTCGAGCAAGGGGAGGGTGTCCGGAGTATTTTGCAAGTTACAGTGTGTTGGATCGATCAAAAATGCCGTTTTGTGAGTGTGTTTTTTTATTTGAACGAATTATTTGAATATGCAGGAATTGTCGACATGCGTTTCCTCGCTTTTGACGTCATTAAACGAGACCATTGCAGGAGCCTCAAAGGGAAATATTGACCGATTTAGCGAGTGATAATCATGGCCTCTATCATCTATCTATTAGTCGTTTGCTTACGATCCATGCGATATTTACATCACCTTAAAAGTCAACTCTCCGATTATGAAAATTATTCTTTCGAACGATATAATTCGATTATTTGGTTTACTAATGGAAAATCTCCCGAGGTTTCCATCCTACGATGGCAACGACGAGGTTGGCGTGTCTTAAGCAACCTTACGAGTCATGTTGCACGCAGGTATGTTCATTCAGGACACGCTGCCCGGGTGGCGTACGCAAGGAAGAACCGATGAATGAAAACAATTCGTGGTCGACGACCCGTTAATGAACGACTCTCGGTTTCGAATCGCGGTCGCGGTGCTAATTAACGGAAGCTCTCGCAAATCGCCGCAGTAACTCAGTCGGGTCTTTTACCAGTCGACGTGCTATTTCTGCGGGACCAATGCGAGGTGTCGTCCCTCGTTACGAAGATGTCAGTGTGTCCTTACGCGACGCCGGTTAGAACAACGTGCGTGTGATCATTTGCCGAGCAGGTGTTCGCGATAGTGCTGTGATATACGATACATTGCTACCGGATAAAAGGGACTTACAAAAGTGAGATTAAAGGTCAGCCCGCAACTCGAAAAATTATCGACTTGGCAAGTTGAAGACATTTGTGTGACAAAGCGTTCAGCGTCAATTGTGTGTAAGACATTCGCATTACGCATCGATGTAAATCCGACTATGTGGCATCCTCGTGGTATATTTCTGGCAATACTAATATCGCCGGCACAAAAACGATATATACATATATGTATGATTTTTTTTCATGTGTGTGACAGTGCTCATATTCGTGTAGAACTTGGAGGCCGTGTATGTGACAGGGTTGTTCATACTGAAGTTGAAGGTAGTGTGAGTGATAGTGTCGATGTTCATGCTAGAGTTGGTGTTCATATAAGTGATAGTGCTTGTGATTTATCGGAGTTGGTGGTCGTGTTGATGATAGTGCTTGTGTTCGTGTGGAAGCTTGTAGTCGTGTGAACGATAATGCTAATGATAATGAACGATAATGCTTATGTGAATTTCGATGGTCGTGTAAGTGATAGTGCACGTGTTCGTGTTTATGTGAAAGTTTATGCTGTGATGGTGTTCGTATCCGTGTCGGATTTGGTGTTCGTATGGATAATAATTTACGTGTTAGTATCGGAGTTGCCATTTGTGTAAGTGTGCGACAGAATTGTTGAAAGACACGATTGCCGCTATGATATCTATTCGTGCTTTAGGATGCATAATATATATTATATCGATCCAAACTCGAAGCGAGTACATGATAATATCCTTTATCTTTCGAATATTAAAGGTGTTACCTGATGCAACATTCGTGTCTTCAGACCCGTTATTCGATGAAGCAAACAACAGAATGCAGGCAAATATTTGATGGAAATCGTGAGAAGAAATTGCAGTGAATTTTGAGGTTCGATTTTATTTGTCTTTTTCAGAGTTTAAATATTAACGGAACGTCTGCATTGCATATAACCAAGAAATGAATTATAGAATTTAGATTATGGCGAGCGTATCGTCACATGTTATTTAGAATCTACGAAAGAACTTTTATTCACTTCATGTGAAACATTCGGAAATTCCTCGGCAATTCGAATAATCGCTAGGTTTTCCTTTTGGCTTACCTGAAGTCGATTGAACAGCCGGAAATCCGACGGCGAATTCTACCGTCGGCTGACTTTCGCTTCCCGTTTGTCTGCGACAAACCACTCGTCGAATTTATCTTCGTTTGACTATTTCCATCCGAATCACGGTCACCTTAGACCCGTCGACTGTTCCAAAGTCCTGCCCGGTTGCGTCGCGGTTTCAACGTCGGATATTCCGGCGCTCCGACGATCCCGGCTGCTTCGAGCCGACCAGGCAGTTGTTGCGGTCATCAATCATGCTCTGAACAAGAGAAAAGCCGCGAGAATGTAGAGAGGATAATTCCCCAACATGACATTGATTTGCTATTCCGCGATAATAGAATCGCCGCGACGTGATGTGCTTATGCGATAGCGTCAGCAAAATTGTGCCTACTTTAAACTGCTGTCTGCGCTTTATTTACTTATTATCGAGTTATGCGGCCAATTATTTCATTGATAGGAGAAATTTCACAAGCTGTCGCGCGCAATATTTTTCAAGCTTAAATTCTTAGCTTCTAGGAGTTAGTCTGGATCGTAAAAACCGCGAGGGATACTAAATTCCCGATTCTACCGAACGCGGTTTAAATATAATAAATGTACAGTCAATGATAATTTGCATTGAAAACAATGTTTCAAGCATTCTGTGTCGATCGGCTTGAAAAAGTAGAGAAAGATCGTTAGTTTTGAATTGTCCTTGCCGATTATCCAAGATGAGATACTAGTCAGCCCAATTTTCGACACTCTTAGAGGAAGGCATTTATGAATTTGCGATTGACAAAACACCGCAGCTTTAGATCCTAAAATCTCGGTCACTTCCATTTACGCAGACTATAGAAATCGAAGATCCTAAATTTCTAGATCTTCACTCTTAGATTATTCGAGCTCAGTTAGATCGCCAGACTCTCCACCGAACACAATCCGGGACAAAATCCCAGTCATCAGCGCGAGCCGTCGGACAACCGTGCGGCACAGCTTCCAACGTGATTCTATTCTACACCCACCAATTCATCCCAAATTTGAAGCACCTCATCCTTATCTCTTCCGTTCCACGTTGATCCTTCTTTCCTTCGGCTTCCAAGACACGAGACATCAGCATGTCACAACACTGGCCACCGCACTGGACTTATCCTGCCGGGGGCACTCTCTTCACTCGCTTTCCTCGCGATCGGCGCACACGTCAACGTTAAACTCGCCGTCGAACAAGTCCGCAGTCGGCGGGATTTCGGGGCGAAAATGTCGCGAGGGAAAAAGTCCGCGAGCGAGGCGGAGGGAAACTCCCCGGGTCTTCGCGGGAATTGTCGAGCGCGAAACTCGCGGGAGGGAAATCAGCCGGAGTGGAAGATCTCGGCGAACTCGTGGAAAACTCACGAGGGAGGATTTTTCACTGACGCGAAGATCGGCGCGCGGAAAACCAGCGAGCGGGAAACTGGCGCGCCGGAAACCCGCGAACGGGAAACTCGCGCGAGAGCGGCGCGGTGCGACAAGGAAGTTCGAAAGACGCGATGGATTCGTGCGAGAGGGAAGCTGCTCCCCGTCGGCATAATATTACGATCCTGGAACGGCCACCCAGGGCCAGGGGCGGACGTCGCCACGGCAGGGAAGCGGGGTTGACCCCTTCGTGCGATCTCGTCGGGCGGTGACGGCGGGGTGGGGTTTTTGCAGCCGGTTTCAGGGGTAGAGAGACGTCGGGACGCCGGGCGTCTGCGCGCTGCGCCGGCGCCTTTGTAGCTTTCCCTTTGTCTCTCTCTCTCTCCCTCTCTCCCTCTCCGTCGCTCTCTTTGTCTTTTACGTAAAAGTAGTTCACTCCGTCGCACTCCACCGTTGTCTGTCTTTTGTTGGTGTTAGCTGCTAGGTGGTTGCCGTTGGTATCGTCCGTGGACGTGTTATCACTGGTATTGGTGATAATGTTGTTTGTCCGGGCATCGCTGCGTTTTCCTGGAGGACCTCTCTAACTCGGCAGATACGCTGCCTTTGGAAATGTCCTTGTATGATTTATGATCTGTCTCTTCGTATCTTTTCGCTTTTCGGCTTTCGTTTCGCCCGATTCGCCCTTGTCGCTTTATTTACCCGGCCATTTCATAAGCTCTCTTTACTTATCAATGTCCTCTCATCCATATTACGTGTCCATTAATTCAGTATTCATAGGATTCCAGAAAATTGGCACAATTTTAAGCCTCGGAGCTTTCCGTAACTTAGAGTTAACGGCTGTTGAAAATTTCGTAGCACTTGAGCGGCAAGATTCAAAAAGCCGAGGATAGGAGAAACGTGTTCGAAGATACTTATTTTGTATACGTGTGTGTATTTCTCCGAGAGGGAGGAAAATCGATTTAAGCACTTCGAAGGGAAGCACTTTGTGTCGAATCGATGATCCGACATGACGCCAACGCAAGACGAAGTGCCGCTCGTACAATTATTGAGTTACTCCAATTCGCCACAACATCTGCTTCCGGTAATATCATCGATTTCGTGTTTCTGGGAACATTCTAAGCGCTAAAGCTACATTCATTATTCATGATTAGCTCAGTCGTCCACGTCTACGTCTCGGTCGCGAAGCGTTCGCTGGTGCGCTCACATTTCACTCTCAATTAATTTGCAATCGGGGGATCTCGATGGGAAGAGCTCTTGGGAAGAGAAATGACGTGACACGCGAGTGGTTAGTCACTCGTCAGTCACGCATACAGGTACAAATTATTACTTAAACGACGCCAGCTGGCAAAAAACGTGTTCCCGCGGCAATTTTAATATCGACACCGGTTTGTCACTCTATCTCTTTGGAGGACTGTGACCGCACCAATTGGTCATTTCTACCAGCGTTTCGATCGAATATCGCACGAGATCATGTCGCCCTCTATTTTAGGATGTAATTGTGTTTTCATGTAATTTTACACGGGGAAACTGTTATAATTCTGGAACTCCATTTGCAGGGTGCTTCATCTTCAAAATACGATATGAAGCTTTCCGTATCTGCGATATATTTAAATAAGAACAATGAAGTTTCCGACATTTGTAACTTCGGATAGCGGATAGCGGATCTTAAACATCGTAAAGTTTAGATTTTCGATGCTTTTAACATTGGAAATATTCTCAGCAGTTTCGGATTGGGAGTCATATTTGACGGGCCTCTGACGTTACGGTGAAACATTTCGATGTATATTATGCAACAAAAGTAGCAAATCGTTCGTATAAATCACGGTCGACGCGTTTTCACTTCACACACGCGCGTGCGCGATTCTCCACGCACGGGGCGTGAGCGCCTTTTAATTGCAGCTGAATAATGCGAGTGACAGTTAGATACATTGTCCGCCACGACCAGTTCTTCTGGATTTGCCTGGTTTACGCGCGGCCAACTATATTTGGCCGGTGCAGCGGCGGCGGTGTGCGTACGCGCGAGCGGCAAAGCGAAAATTCATCGCGTCTCCGCGCGACAGAGTCGTTTCGCTCCTGATTCCCATTAGGTTTCATTAGTCCCATTAGGCTCATTAACCGCGGGTGGCACGATCAAGTTGCCTTCTACAAATCGAACTTCTCGTTAAACGCGAGTTCTCGTTAATCTTGCACGCCCCGCCCTGTCAGATCCCGCGATTTCGTTCGCAGTCAGAGATCCTGAAGAATAAGCTGCAAATCAAGATTTCAGATACTCGAGATGTTTGCCCGCTCGGCTATTCAAATCCGCTGGTATTACTCGGATTCACAGGATACCTGAGTACCTAGATTCGCAGGTATTATCCTGATAATACCCGGACACTACTAACTATTAACAGTCGCAACAGTTACTTGGACAGTACTTGAATACCCAAACTCACGGACGCTGCTCAGGGTTGCGGGTATCTTAATAGTTTCCGAGATGAACCAAGTATTCGGTATTAACGTCACTCGATATAATTTGGAACGGTACTTTAACTATGACCGCATAACCGTTCCTAGGGCTGAAATTAGATTCTCCCTTCCATACGACTCCACTTTTCGATGACGTTTCAAGAATTACATTTTCCAACCGTCGTGACCTGGGACTTATTTAAAGTCCTCCAAGAAAGGCTTCCTGGGCAAGTATCCATTATCGATCGGAGGGTCCACTTTTCCCCGGGGAAGTTCTCCGCTGAAAATTCCGTTCCTCGGATTTGGATCGAGTCTGATTCAATCGCGTATAATCGTTGTCTTTCTCTCAAGAACCTCAAGACAGTTCGTGCGACGCGAGGCGGACCGCATTGCGCAGTGCGTCATGTAAGAAAGCTGTCATTGTGGTAAAGGAGGAGGATGCTGTCATATCGATCAGAGACTTTCCGGACGGATAGACGGCTGGAAGCAATACTAACGAAGAAGAAGAAGCAGCAGCGGTAGCAGCAGCCGAGCCAGGCGCTGGCTTATCTCCCACTTGCTTCTCTTCCTCATCGTCTCTGTCTCTCTCTCCTCGCGGGGAAGGTGAGGGTACACTAACCTCAGAGGAGTCTCCGCGAGGTGCGGCCCTCCGACGGCCCGCTCGATAGGAGCTCGCCTGCTGCCAGCCAATAGCGATTGCCGCGCGACGATAAAGCCGTCGTCCCATTGGTCGACGCGCCGGTTTGCACTGACATCAGGGGAGACGAGGAACAGATGGAGATGGAAATGCTCCCGCCAGCATCTCGCGGATGCTGCCGAGAATGGGAGTCATCTGGTGGATGCTGATGGAGGCTGCGTTATTCGGCACACGAGCGGCGAACATTTAGAACCTGTCATATTTCCTTTTTTCCATCTTGTTTTCAGCCAAAGGCGAGACATCGTCGCAAGGACATGTCGTATTGTGAATGAATGAAGTACATGTGCGAGATACGAGATGCTTGCTTTATTGGACGTAGCGTTCGCTCCGAATAGGAAGCACGCTTTCGAGGATCGATTAAAGTGGAAACGCTCAAGATCGCGCGCTGAGATATTGCACTTTAGTGGTAGCTGCGATCTTCAGTGACGCCAATTCCGAGTACTCCGAGGTGTCTCGGGAACTCTCACGTAAGTCTGGGTATTTCAGTGTTATTCGGATATTATCTGAGCAGTATCCGCGATCTGGACAACACCGGGCACTATCCGAGTACTACTTCTGAACCCGATGACCTGCGGTAGTACCCGGTACTACTCGAAAGCCTATTAATC